TATATATATATATATATATATACACACACACACACACACACACACACACACACACACACACACACACACAACATCATATTCATGAAAAGCAAACTTTTACATGTTCTTATTTGCTAAAATTCATTAAACATACTTTCAGATGTGCAGCACACTCGCGAAATTTTATTTTACCAATTGCAGTTGACTATACAAAAAGACAAAAGTAGCTAAATTTCATTTTGAAGAGAAAACTCATTAAGTCAAAGTTTAAAGACTAGGCATAGAGCTGAATTCTCATAGTGGACAACAGCAATAGTTGCCAAATTTTACGCTATATAACAAACGACAGTGTACCACACAAATTTACACATAGATTTGAGGAAAGTACTTCACTCTTTTTCGCAAATAGCAGTTTGGTACAAGAGTGATGATATCTTTATGGATTTGGGGAAAGTGGAGCTTCACTCTTTTTTACAAATAGCAGTTTATTAACTGCATAGGAGTGACGATAACTTCAGGGTTTTGGGAAAAATAGAGCTTCACTATTCTTTGTCTTCAATGCAAGAATGAGGCATAAATGGAGAATGAGGGGTCAATGAGCTCACGTATCTTAGTCAGTATTCGACGAGATCGAAGTTAACTGTTGTTGGGCTTCAATGGTCGGAACTCAGAGGTGTATTTTCAATCTATTTGGGAGAGTAGCGTTTTGAAATTCATTCAGGCAAGTCAAACGGGTCGGAGTCAGTAAGAATTTAATTCGTGTTCCCATCTTTCCTTCACTCCTAGATTCCTCCTTTTTCCAACAATGGCATGTCGATTGTTTTAAAATCCTGTCACCAAAGATTGTCACTGAACCTATCCATTTAGACTAATTGTTAAATTATTTTAAAGAATTTAATTTATTTTATCAAAATCCTTTAAAATCTTCCCCTATCCTAAATCTAGCCTACCTATGCCCTTCCTTCCCTAAGCCCCCTCTCTCGATCGATCTCTCTATTGGGCCCATTTGCAACCTTCAATCCCAACAGTAAAATCTTCTCCCATTGCTTGCCTTTTTTCTACATCATTTTCATTACATCCTGTCCATTTTTCTATTCTCGAAATTTTACAAATTAATTTGTTGAAGTTCCTGAATACTAGTTTGGATCTTCACTTTCTTTATATGAGTTTAATGTTAACCCTTCAAGTAAATTTATTTGTACTCATGACATTTTGAAATAAAATAATAATTTAATTTTCAATAAATTATTTATTTTAATTTAAGTTTGTATTTTGCTCATAGATCGACTTGATAATATAAATCCAGTGTTTAAGTTGTTAAACACAGAAAAAGATTAAATTTATAATTTGATCTAAATGGTCCACAATCGATAAATTAAGACAATCAATTTATAATTTTCTCAATTTTATTTAAAGTTGATCCTGAATTTAGTAATAAAATTGATTGTACATTTTGGAATGTAATCGACTAGACCACGTGAAATTGATTTATGGTATTGACCCATATGAATTTAATTTCACTTGACTATTGTACATAGCCTTAATTCTGAGCGGGTAATGAAATTTAATTAATAACATGAAATTCTTTGAGGTATCGATGAGTGAGATGAGATTGCAAATCAATATTTTGGTGCCTTGGGAATTAAAGTGAATAATTGGAGAACATATATTCGCGATATGGAATCCATAACCTATTCAATAGGCATGATGTGGACCTCAAGAGATTTTGCTAGTGGACAATTAAATTCTGAGCTCGATAATTTGACATTAATTGTTGAATTAATAGTATGATGTGATCACATGAAATTATCACATAAAAAAATAAGATTTAGGACTTAATGTCTATTTGGGAAAAGGGTATTTTGGTCATTTTACCTTGTTCCAAATGTCCAACATGATTAACGGGCGTAATATGTGCGAACAATATGTCAAATTATATAATTATTCTAGCTTTAGTCAGTTTAATGAAGTTAAGAATGCAATCTCATTCTTTTAGTGGAATAAAACGTGTTTAATAAATTATCTAGACCGATTAAGAGGTGATCGAGTCAAGATTAATTTATCATAGCTTAATTTAATTGGGTATGTTTGGTCCCTTCTTTGGCTTCAAAATAAGAACCGAAATTAATTATAAGAGTTATAATATATTATTATTAACTATAGAAAGATAAATTAATCAAATCAAAATGTGTCACACATGTGCTGTGCATGTCCATTTAAGATATGGAAGACTTTGATTTGGATGAGAATTAAAAGTGTTCTTTTTATTTAGGATGTTTACCCAAACAAAAGAAAGAGTTCTTTTGGGATTGTAATACTCCTCTCATCAAATTCATATCATAAAGACACTCACATTATGTTTTATTGAATAAGCAAGATCACGATAATTCTTGTCCCTACACACGAAAGAAATCTTTGTAGTTTTGAGTTCTTGACCAAACGGTTTGACGGTGAATCAAGAGGATAAAATAAATAGACTTGACGATGGAATCAAGAAGATCAAAGGAATTTTTGTAAAGCACGGTACAAGGGTAATTCTTAAAACACTTATGTGTTTATCAATGTTTCATAATTATTTTATTCTTGTCGACACAATATTTAATAAATTCCTTATATTTTTCCAACACGTTCAACCTGGATCTATCAAACTATTGGCTGCCCAGTGTCATCAATAGACCACCCGCATGATTGAATTTAGAACTAAGAAGGTAAACCCACATGTATGAATTATAGAAAAAGAGTATCTTAGAGGGCTATGATTTTGGCCAAGATTTAATGATCTTGGAACATAATGAAAATTTCTATTGTGCTTAAAAGCACATGAAATTAAGTAAAATGGAACATATGTATTAAATGCAAGGAATTTTAATCGATCATGTGGGCATATATGTATAAATTATTGTGTATTAAATTAAAAGCTATCAAATTTGGTTAGGCTCAGTTTAAAGTGATTTAATAAGATTTCGATAATTTAAAGCATGGGCTTTTATGTGTAGAGATCGGTCATTGTTCCTAATCCCATGATGAGCCGAATTAGGTTAACAGGCAATCAGTATATAAATACAGTTATGGTCCCCAAATCACAGGGATTGATCATTATGTTCTGCCTCCCATCACTAGAGAAAAAAGGAGCTACTTGTTGATTTCAAAGACATAACCGTAGGATTCAATCGTTGCAATTAATAATGTCTAATTCAGGTACGCTTCCGCTTTAGTTTATGTGTTCTTAATGATCCAAAATGATAGATTTGGCTATTTTACGGTAATAATTTTTCCTACAAGTGGTATTGGAGCCAACTTTCATGTTGAATCATTGAGAATTGAATATTTATTTGGTTATTGTGACAATTTCAATATTTTCAAATTTAACAATTCCAGATCTATATTTTGTTAAATTTGAAAACTTTTACGGCATGTTTTTTCTTGTTGTCTTCCATAATTTTTTTTTAAAGTTAAGGAATTTTAGATTACGATTTTTTTAAGGTTAAAGTTTAAAAAAAGTCTTTCGATGGCGCAGTACCGCTGTTGTGTGATGCTGCGGGTGGTAAAGGATCGTAGCGCGATGGCCCGTGCAACATCCGACCTAGCGCTGCCAAGGGGGAAGAATGAAACTCTTTTTTTTTTAGGGTTTTCAGTTTGGGTGAAATTTGGGGACGGGGGCCTCACTGAAAATTGGTTTATTTGAGGCACATGTTTGCAATTTCATATTAGGGTTATAATTTTAAAGTTTCAGTCCCTAATGTTTAAAGTTCATCCAAATTGGGCTCTTAAGTTATGGATTTAATAATTCAGTCCCTAAAGTTTAAAAAATTAATTAATTTGGGTTATTAAAGTTCTGAATTTTGTAATTAAAGCCCTCAAAGTTTCTAATTTCTTCACATTGGCCCCTAAAGTTTTGAATTTATTAATTTTTGCCCCTTAAAGTTTTGAATTATTAACTTTTAGGCCCCTAAAGTTTAAAACTAAATAAAATATGCAAAATTGGTGGTTTTCTTTCTCAAACTTTGGTACTAAGGACTCTTTCGAAAGGCATAATATTCTAAAGTGAATGAATTAAGCAACATGTTGCCAAAGTAACCTCTATTGTGGAAATTAATTAACTTATAATATTAAAATGTGTTTGTGTGCATTATACGTGCAAATATTGATTGGCCCAAAGGAAGATCAATATTTTGCCGAATTGTATGTGCATCAGTGGTGATAAACATGTGGCAATTATTTGGTTTAATGTGTGATTAATAAATCGTACCAAAGAAATGTTTATTGGTTGACATATTATTTTATCATTAGTGTTTGATCACTACACCAAGATACCACTTACAAGTCAATATTTCTGTCCAAATACTAGATATTGATGTTGTGCTAGGTATCTTGTGATAGGTCATACCATTATTTGAGATTATTATTATTTGCAATTGAGGATACTCGTGTGAGCCATTCGTATTAATTGTTCTCTAATTTAGTTTTAAGTTTTACTGCTAATATTTATACTAGCATTAATTCAATTCCAATGTTTAATGGTACAAACTTCAAGACGTGACAAGAGAACGTAATGATTGTTCTCAAAGTCATGGACCTGGACATTGCTTTATGGGTCGATCAACCTTCTTCACTTACTGATAAAAGTATCTCGGATGACAACAAAGAGATGGAAAAATGGAAAAAGATCAAATCGCATAAGCTTAATGTCATAAAGTATTCTATTCCAGAAACATTCTGGGGCACTATGTCCGATAAGGTGACCACGGCTAAGAGTTTCTTTGAGGACCTTGATAAGAAGTTTGCTAAGAATGAAAAAGCTGAAACAAGTACAATTTTAGCACAGGTTGTCTCAATAAGGTATAAAGGGAAAGGAAATACATGGGAATGCATTATAGAAATGTCTTAAATTGTTTCAAAGCTAAAGGCACTCAAGTTGGATTTATTTGAAGACTTGTTAGTGCACTTAGTTCTGATATCCCTTTCGGCACATTTCAGTCAATTCAAGGTGAGCTACAACTATTTAAAGGACTCATGGTCCCTTAATGAGCTTAACTCACACTGTGTCCAACAAAAAGAAAGATTAAAACATGACAAGACATAAAGTGCTCATTTAGCCACCACCTCCAATGATAAAAAAAAACAAGAAAAAAAAGAAAATGAAGCTACGGGTACAACCTCACAAAAGAAACTGCATAAGGAACCAATTGAAGGTGATTGTTTCTTCTATGGAGCTAAAGGTCATAAGAAGAACAACTATTCCTACTATCACGTATGGTGTTTCAAGAAAGATATTTTTCTTCATTTGGTTTGTTCTGAGGTTTATTTAACTTTGGTACATAGATATACATAGTAGATAGATTCTGGTACAACAACTCACATTAGTGTGTCTATGCAAGGTTGTCTGAGTTGTCGAAAACCAAAAGATGGTGAAAGATACATCTATGTTGGCAAAGACAAGACGGTGGAAGTAGAGGCAATAGGAAAATTTAGGTAATTGTTAAAGACTATATTTTATTTAGAACTTAATGAGACATTTATTATACCTTCTTTTAGACGAAATTTGATTTCTATTTCTACTTTAGAAAATTTTGATTATTCTTGTTCATTTGAGAATGGAAAATTTAGTTTGTTTAATGATTCGAAATTGGTTGGCTTCAGCTCTTTAACGGGTTATGATAATCTTTATTTAATTGATACAATTGCTTTTGTTAATGAATCATTGCATGCAAGTACTCAAGGTGTAAAGCGAAAATTAATCGACGAGAATTCTGCCTCGTTGTGGCACAAGAGATTAGGTCATATATCCAAGAGAAGAATTATGAGACTTGTGTCTGACGGGATTCTCGATCCACTTGAATTCACAAATTATAATTTGTGTCTCAACTGTATAAAAAGAAAATAAACCAATAAAAGGAGATTTCAAGCCAAACGGGACCTTGGACTTCTTAGAACTTATACATACAGACATTTATAGACCATTCCCTACAAGTTCTTAGAATGGTCAACAATATTTTATAACATTCATAGATGATTAAAAGTATCAGATCTGATCGTGAGGTGAATACTATGGCCGATATAACGGTTCAGGTGAAAAACGTCCTGAACCATTTGCTAAATTCCTAAAGGATGTGATATCATCCCATAGTACACTATATCGGGTTTGAACACTATAAATGGTGTTGTTGAGATACAAAATAGAATGCTTAAGGACATGGTGACAAGTATGATTAGTCATTCTACCTTATCAGAATCTCTCTAGGGTGAAGTATTAAAGACCGGAGCGTATATACTCAACAGAGTTCTAACTAAGGCCACTGATAAAACCTCTAATGAGCTTTTGACGAGCAAGAGGCCTAGTTTGAAGCACATATAGATTTGGGGATGTCCAGTTGAGGTAAGGCCCTATAAGCCAAATGAAAAGAAATTGGACGCAAGACCATCAATTGCTATTTAATTGGATATTCTAAAAGGTTCAGGGATTACAAGTTTTATGATCCACAATTAAGGCAATTTTCGAGACAGAAAATGCTCGATTATTTGAGGATATTGAATTTGCAGGGGGAGAAAGGGTTGCAAGCTTTGTCTTTGATAAGGACTATGTTGAAATTCCTTCAATTACTATTGACAATGATCATATTTCTATCCCTGACATTTTTTAAGAAGCAACTCAGGATCAAGATAATGTCATTGTATCTATCTCTCAAAGTCAACAAATTGTTCCAAAAAAAAAAACAAACTTTACAACCTTAAGAACTGCATAAGAAGATCCATTAGAGAGAGAAGAAGTGCGGTTTCAGATGATTACATCCTATTTCTCCTAGAACATGAAGTTGACATTGGAGTGGTGGAAGATGATTTGATCAACCTCTGTTAAGCCATGAAAAGTTCTAATTCTCAAAGTGGCTCGATGCCATAAATGAAGAGATAAAGTCCATGAAGGACAATGATGTATGGGACCTCGTTCCATTGCCTGAAAGTGCAAATCCCGTTGGTTTCAATTAGATATTTAAGATCAAGAAGGATTCGAAGGATGATGTAGAGAGGTATAAGGCTAGTATTGTAGCAAAGGGCCTTACACAGAAAGAAGACATCCATTATAAAGAGACATTCTCTCCGATTTCTTCAAAACACTCGTTTGGGACTATAATGGCATTGATACCGCATTTCGATCTTGAGTTACATCAAATGGATGTTAAGATAGCGTTTTTCAGTACATTTATCAAACAATTTATATGGTACAACCAGAAAACTTCGAATCGGATGATGCAAAGGAAATGGTTTGTAAACTAAAGAAATCCATCTATAGACTTAAACAGGCGTCTCGTCAATGGTATTACAAGTTTCATCAAGTGATCATCTCATTTGATTTTTAGAAGAATTTGGTCGATAATTGTATATACCACAAGTTTAGTGGAAATAAGAATATTTTTCTAATTTTATATGTCAATAACATATTGCTTGCTAGCAAAAATATAGGCCTATTGCACAAAACAAGAGATTTCTAGAAAAAAATTTGAGATGAAAGATTTTGGTGACGCCTCTTTTGTAGGAATTCAGAAACACCGAGATCGTTCTCGGGGTATCCTTGAATTATCACAAAAGTACTATATCGAAAAGTTACTTAAAATATATGGTATGTAAGATTGTAAACCAGGTGACACCTCTGTGGCTAAAGGAGACAAGTTCAGTTTAAGCCAGTGCCCTAAAAATTACTTGGAAATTAAATGAATCCAGAAGATTCCTTAATCTTCAGCTATAGGAACTTTATGTATGCTCAGGTTTGTAAGCGTCCAAATATAGCATACATTGTTGGGATCGTAGAGAGATATTTAGGTAATCTGGGAATGAATCATTGGAAAGCAGCCAAATGGGTCATGCGGTATTTACAGAGAACAAAAGACTGTATGCTCGCACACAGGAGATCAGATCAGTTGTAGATCATCGGTTATTCTGATTTCCATTTTGCGGGATGCCAAAATAGTAGGAAATTCACTTCAAGCTATATTTACCTGCTTGCTGGAGGTGCTATTTCCTGAAAAAGTACTAAACAGACACTCATAACTACTTTCGTCATAGCAGTGGAGTTTATAGCGTGTTATGAGACTTCAAACCATGGAATATGGTCATGCAATTTTGTCACTGGGTTGTGCATTGTGGATAGTATAGAAAGATGGCTCAAGTTATTTTGTTTCAATAAATTAGCAGTGCTGTATTCCAATAACAACAGGAGCTCGACGAAGTCGAAATATATAAAGATTCAACTGTACAAAAAGAAAATAAACCAATAAAAGGAGATTTCAAGCCAAACGGGACCTTGGACTTCTTAGAACTTATACATACAGACATTTATAGACCATTCCCTACAAGTTCTTAGAATGGTCAACAATATTTTATAACATTCATAGATGATTAAAAGTATCAGATCTGATCGTGAGGTGAATACTATGGCCGATATAACGGTTCAGGTGAAAAACGTCCTGAACCATTTGCTAAATTCCTAAAGGATGTGATATCATCCCATAGTACACTATATCGGGTTTGAACACTATAAATGGTGTTGTTGAGATACAAAATAGAATGCTTAAGGACATGGTGACAAGTATGATTAGTCATTCTACCTTATCAGAATCTCTCTAGGGTGAAGTATTAAAGACCGGAGCGTATATACTCAACAGAGTTCTAACTAAGGCCACTGATAAAACCTCTAATGAGCTTTTGACGAGCAAGAGGCCTAGTTTGAAGCACATATAGATTTGGGGATGTCCAGTTGAGGTAAGGCCCTATAAGCCAAATGAAAAGAAATTGGACGCAAGACCATCAATTGCTATTTAATTGGATATTCTAAAAGGTTCAGGGATTACAAGTTTTATGATCCACAATTAAGGCAATTTTCGAGACAGAAAATGCTCGATTATTTGAGGATATTGAATTTGCAGGGGGAGAAAGGGTTGCAAGCTTTGTCTTTGATGAGGACTATGTTGAAATTCCTTCAATTACTATTGACAATGATCATATTTCTATCCCTGACATTTTTTAAGAAGCAACTCAGGATCAAGATAATGTCATTGTATCTATCTCTCAAAGTCAACAAATTGTTCCAAAAAAAAAAAAAACTTTACAACCTTAAGAACTGCATAAGAAGATCCATTAGAGAGAGAAGAAGTGCGGTTTCAGATGATTACATCCTATTTCTCCTAGAACATGAAGTTGACATTGGAGTGGTGGAAGATGATTTGATCAACCTCTGTTAAGCCATGAAAAGTTCTAATTCTCAAAGTGGCTCGATGCCATAAATGAAGAGATAAAGTCCATGAAGGACAATGATGTATGGGACCTCGTTCCATTGCCTGAAAGTGCAAATCCCGTTGGTTTCAATTAGATATTTAAGATCAAGAAGGATTCGAAGGATGATGTAGAGAGGTATAAGGCTAGTATTGTAGCAAAGGGCCTTACACAGAAAGAAGACATCCATTATAAAGAGACATTCTCTCCGATTTCTTCAAAACACTCGTTTGGGACTATAATGGCATTGATACCGCATTTCGATCTTGAGTTACATCAAATGGATGTTAAGATAGCGTTTTTCAGTACATTTATCAAACAATTTATATGGTACAACCAGAAAACTTCGAATCGGATGATGCAAAGGAAATGGTTTGTAAACTAAAGAAATCCATTTATGGGCTCAAATAGGCGTCTCGTCAATGGTATTACAAGTTTCATCAAGTGATCATCTCATTTGATTTTTAGAAGAATTTGGTCGATAATTGTATATACCACAAGTTTAGTGGAAATAAGAATATTTTTCTAATTTTATATGTCAATAACATATTGCTTGCTAGCAAAAATATAGGCCTATTGCACAAAACAAGAGATTTCTAGAAAAAAATTTGAGATGAAAGATTT